CCTCAGCACAGCAGAGTAGGGCTTCTTCCAAGGCCCTGGCAAATGTGCTGCTATAGTTTTGCTCTCTATATACAATTTCTAGGTAGTTCCAGAATGGTGAGAATTGTCTCCAGTTATGGTTGAGCTCACGTAGAAAAAATATTCTTTGTGGTTTCTTTTCCCCTTTGGCTGGCCATGGTGGTCAATGTTTTAGTTTATTAATATGGGTGTATTGCAGTCCCTGCTACTTAGGGTTATACACACAAACAGAAGAGCATTGAGCAAGGTGCAGCATTTAACAACATCAATCTGGGAAAAATATTGGGAATTAGTAGTAACTCAGGGTATGTCAAGACTACATGGCTCCGTCGACAGACATAGAAAATGAAGCGGCGATCAGCTGTTTGGCGGCACAGCGGGGCAGTCTGAACGTGCCACGGTCAACAAGGGAAGCCTTTGTTGACCGCTCTGGTATGCCTCGTGAAATGAGGTTTACCGGAGTGGTCGACAAAGGCTTCCCCTCTCAAACGCGGCATGTCCAGACTGCCCTGCTGTGCCGCCAAACAGCTGATCAGCACAGCGTGGCGGCCATTTTGATGTAAATGAAGTGGCAGTTATTTAAATCGCCGCTTCATTTTCCTATGTCTAGTAAACTCATCTACATGGCTCCGTCGACGGAGCCTTGTAGTCTTTACATACCCTGAGTTACTACTAATTCTCAATATTTTCCCCAGGTTGATGCTATTAAGTGCTGCACCTTGCTCAGGGCACTAAGCAACGGCTCCATAGCTCATACAGAATATTTGGATATAGTGATCAAAACGATGGTTTTCCATAATGGTCCTCTTAACAGGATTCTGTGTTGGTGAGACGTGGACAAATTAGTGGAGAATGTCACCTCTGCAAGATCCTCCACTGAACCATTGCTCATTTCTAGAAGTACACTCAGTACTTCTGTCTGGGAATTAGAAGTAATGGTAATTTCATGAGGAAATCTGTTCTCCTGAGGTTTGCAATCCAATTTCACTTGTGATGTTGAGGTGACATTCTGGCTTCTTGAGGTCAATGGCAAAGCTCCCATTGACTTCAATGGGGCCAATATTTCACCTCTAACCTCTTAAATGCTTAACCAAAGTGGACTCAGATTCTGAACTTTGAGATTTGCCAGTCAGTTAACTCTATTTTGGTTATAGAGTCATTTGGTCATTCTAGTTACTTAAACAGCTTGTAGCCCAAAGGGGAGAACAGTATGTTGGAACAATCCCTGGCGGGCCTGGAGGACACTGTTTTTCCTTTTGCTTCTTTGACTAGGAGACTCTGTCAATACCCTTTTGTCAAACCCAGAGTAGTTAGAAACCAGTCATTGCCCAGCTGGTCCACTAGTTTTTCATTGTGTGATATGGGATGTGCATGGAATTGGGATACAGATTTTTCTGGCTATAACTAATATGCCATGGGGGTAGCATCCATATAACAGTTTGAAAAGGAAGAACCTAGTGGAGGCCTGAGGGACCTCCCTAATGGCAAACATGAGGTAGTGCAATAGCGTATCCTCATCTTTCTCATCCTGGCTCACAACTTTTCTAATCATGGCTTTGAGGGCCCTATTGAACCTTTCTGTAGGGCTTGTACATGGAGTAGAGAGCAGAGATCCTTCATCAATGTGGACATGAAAGGGCACCTGGGTCAGTGAGTATCTCCTTTGGTGGTCCTACATCAGGAGTGGGCAATAATTTTTTGCTGGGGGCCACTTCGAAAATTTTTGAAGTGGCCCCAGGCTGCACAGGAAGGGGCAGGGCATCTAGTGGAAAAGGCTGGGCATTGAGAGGAAGGGGCAAGGTCAAGATATTTCCAGGTTCGCCACTCCCAGACCATGATTGGTCTGGGGGTGAGGGAGTGCCTTTGCCCTCACCCCAAGTTCTCCCAAGGTGCCCATGCCCCTGGTGTGGCTAATTAGGGCCTGGGGGCAGGGGAGCGAGCAAAGCCTTCTCTGCTCTGCCCCGCCTTACCCGGCTTCATAGCACCGCATGCTCCTGGCAAGAGGAGGCTTTGCGTGCTTGATTGGCCTGGGGGGGGGGAAGGGGAACGCATGAAGCCTCTTCCTACCTTGCCAGGAGCACATAGTGCTATGAAGCACCGCACATTGGTCGCAGGGTAGGGGCAGAGTGGAGAAAGCTTTGTGTGCTCCCTCACCCCCAGGCCCTAATTAGCCTGGGGACAGGGGAGCAGCAGGGCCTCCGCAGGCCGGATCCACGCTGGATCCGGTCCACGGAGGCCCTTTTGCCCACCCCTGTCCTACATGGACAAAAAATTGTCACTACCTGTAGTTCCTAACTATTGTTTTGGAAGCCATATTTCGCAGGGGAACAGCTTCCGGATACTGGGTTGCATAATCCAGGACAAAGAGCATATGGTAATGGCCTCATGTCATCTTCTCTAGGGGTCCCACCAACTCAATGGCTATCCACTCAAACAGGATCTCTAAGATTGGCAGAGGCACCAAAGGGGCCCTTAAGTGTGGGCAAGGATGGCGGTGCAGCTGACACTTTGAACAGCTGTACCACCAGACAGTTTTATGCACTTCTGGACAAAAGAATCTTCCGAGGACCCGTGCCTGGCCCTTCTCTACTCTTAGGTGCCTTCCTGTCTGCCAGGCTTAAGGTGGAATGCCAATGATTTTGTGGCACAAGGAGCTGTTGTATCTTCTGCTCCTGCATCAGGAAGACCCGGTACAGGAGTTCCCTTTTGATCATGAAGTAAGGCTCTGTTTTTTGGACCTTCTTCTCTATGAGCACCCTGTCCATTTCAGCCACTTCTTTCCTGGCATTATCATACCTAGGATCTTTTGCCTGGTCCCACTCAAAAAATTTCCTGCCATGGCTGATCTGTCCAAGCTCTTGAGGGCTGGCATCCGCTTCTTCCACTGGTTTGGTGATATCATGACCTGGACCAGACTCTGCTTTGTCCTTTGCTGGGACAGTCCCTTGATCTGATGTTCATATCTGCTTGTCTACTAAGGTAGTTTTCCTGCCCTGGGTCAGAATTTGAGCTCTCAAGGCCTTCACTGCCCTCCTTTCTTTTCTGGTCATCTGGGTCTTCCCAGGAATGGGAAACATCTTAAGAAATTTTGAAGAAAATCAGGGGGGATGATACCCTGCCAGGGATGAATCGTTGGCCTGAAGGCCCCCACACCCTTTTCTCCAACCCTTTAGGAGGGAGTAAGCTTCCAAACCCTGGGAAATTCTTCCCTGTGACTATGGGATATGGGAGTTTTTTGACTACGCCTACTGTAACCCCAATAGGGGTCCTCTGAATCTTAGTTTCTACCAGGATGGTGGGGTAATAGCTAACTGCAGTCTCCAGTCTAGCCACTTCTCTCAGTGATATACGCTGCAGATCATACACTGGCCACTCCCTTCAATGGCAAGGGGAGGCATGGAGGAGGGACTTGATCCCCTATGCTACTCCAAGCCCCAAGTCACACACCGTATAGCTGGCAGCCACATGCTGCCCCATCTCCAACTCGCACTCTCTGTTTCCGTGGGTCACTTCCTGATATCCCCAGCACTTTCTAGGCCCTTTGCATCAGGGCGACAGTTTGGCAGGCCTCAGGCTGGAGCTCTGTGTTGGTCTCCTGACCTAAACAGCACCTGTTTATCTAAGGTACTCTCTAGGGTAGCCAGTTCTTCTCCCTTGCACTCCAGGAGAAAATCACTCTGCTTTGTTGAGCAGCTCTTCTTATATGAATCTCCCTGGGCTCGATTGGCTGCTACAGGATCTTCCTGAGCCTGATTGGCTGAGTCTCCTGACTGGCTCTCTACAAGTCCTCCTTCCAATTTTTTTTCAGTCTCTCTAAGAGCTGCTTTAAGCTTCCAGCTACCTGTGTGGGGCAGACGCCCCACCACAGTATAAAATATACCTGGTAGATCTATGGCAATTTATGTGAAGCTTGCCATCTCTCTTGGGATGTAAGGAGAATCTAATTTCTTAACTTACAAATGACTGCTTAGTTCCTTATGCAGGTAAACTCCCCATAAATCCATGGGATATTACTGTTAACAAATATATTTGCTGCATTTAGTTGATATCTTGGCAGACAGTCCTGCAGGGGCGGCCCAAGACAGGCTGCCAGCAGCTGGCACCCCAGGCAGAATGAGTGATCGGTGCTCCTGCCTCCACAGCCCTCAATGGTGCGACATCATCATTGGGTGCTCCCTTTAACGTGGCACCCTAGGTGATGGCTGAGTCAGCCTATACGCAGTCCTGTACTCCAGCAGCAAAGTAAATTGGCTGGGAAGTCCTTCACAGTCCATTACATATGATTTCCTCCTTCACATACTAAAAAGGAAGAATCCACTAAATAGTATAGCAGTGGAGGGATTATATAGGCAAGAATCCACTCTGTGTTCCTCATCATGACTTTGGGATCAAATATAGTAGGAATGTTATGTGAATTGTTCATACAATGCTTTACATGATCCTGGGTGAACTCTTAGCCCATTAAAGTCAAGTGGGAGTTTTGCCATTTACTTCACTAGAGCCAGGATTTTACTGCCCAGGCAATTGGTTTGGATCATTTGAAAAGTGTTGTACTGCATACAGAGAGTCCTGTACAGATACAAAATTTGTATCTGCATCTGTATCTGAAAAAATAAACCATGGATAATTGGGCACTGATATCCATGGATGCAGATATCTGTGGATATAAAGCAGATATCCACAAATTTGCAAAGTTCTAGATATAAAATTTGTATCTGCATCTGCAAAAATGAGCTGTGGACGTCCACATCCACAAGTGTAGATACCTGCGGATATCTGTGGATTTGCAGTGCTCTATGCATAGGCATCTAAATCAATGGATGTGTTCAGCAAAGCTCTTGGTTCTTCATCTTAATATTGAGTCTAAACATAGTGACTCCATTTCCTCTGTAGTATAAGCTCATCAGCATCAATTGAATAAAGCCAAGGATGACTGTGTCTCTTGGACTCCTGCAGAATAAACATGCTCTTGAATTATCTGCTTAAGTTATTTATTTATTTATTTGCATGACAGAGCTCAACACAGTGAATTTATCCAACAAACAACAAGAATTGTCAGAAGTGGTGCTCCTCAGAAAATGTTACTGAATAGTTTCTTTGGGCTGGCTAAGCAAGCTACAAATATTCATTTCAAATAGTCAAGATGGATCACTAGTAAATTGCTATACCACTTCCTTTCTCTTACATCATCAGGATAAATCTGCAACATTTGAATGCAGATCTTAAACACCTCAGAGTCTCAACTATTGAGATCACTTATCACATCCCACCTCCAATTTCTCTCTACTTTTTGTTATTATTAAATAGGTCATGATAGCACCACTCTTCTTTCCTTCCTGGACATACATTAGTGGATAAATATGATTTGTGTTGAATAGTATCAGCCCCACAAAAAAAGCTTATGGGCCAGATTCTGCCCTTGAAAGAATGTATGAAAAATTCCCATTAGTACAGTGGGATTTATGTGCACAAAGGGAAGTACAAAATCTAGTCCTAAATATTAGTCCGCTATAGAGAGATCTCCAGTTGAGACTTTTAAAGGCACACAAGGAATTTAGACACATACCTTCCATTCGGATTTATCCAAATCCTCTAGCCTGTTTTGAAAATCATGTTCTTGGGCTCAGGATGTGATTAAGAAGTGTCGCAGAAATGCGAAGACTATTTTTTGAGGGGAGAGAGAGGAGAAACGGAGGGCCATAAGAGAACACCACAAAAAGGTTAAGACTGAATGCAAGCTCAGACCTTACATATTAACTGGAATACTTCAGCCAGGCTTCCAAGTCTATATTAACCTTAATAGTGAACCTTAATATGCTGAATGAAATTCATCCCCAATGGAAGCCTATTGAAGCCAATATAATTATACCAGGGATGATTTGGGCCTTTTGACTTTTAAGAGTCCACAGACCAAATATGGATTTAGGAGCCTAACATCAGACTTTGAAAATACTGAGCTTCATTTTTACTTTATAACATCCTCGCTCTTTACTTTGATATTGTCTTGCCATCACCACTGGGAAGAGCAGATTCCTGTGTCCTCCGTACAATACACCAGCATGTAATGAAAAAACATATTCATACCAAAAAGAGAGCAAGAGCCACTATAACATAAGAGGCTAAGCATCTATGATAGCCATGGATGGTAACCACCATAGCATTTAAAAGATGGCGTTTTTCTAACTAGTGCATGTATATTGAAGTGGAGGATTTCTGTTTTTGGATGCTGCTACATTATGCTTTTAAGAGAAGTTTTTTATCCTTAGTTACAAAGATACTTTGGCAGGAAAAGTCTGTTTGTGGAATGCATCAGCTCACACCACCCATCAGGAGCTTATTTTTTCCCCAAGGGTGGGTTACACCTGGGAGCTCTTTAAGCTCTCTGAACCAATTAAACCATGTGGATCACTGGTTCTAAGGTAACATCTGTCATTCCAAATAGCAGCAAATGTGTTTGCTCATTACATGAGTTTAAAACACCATTGGTGACTCCCCAAAAAAATGTCAGACTCCTAAGAAATCAAACCATTGCAAATGTGGGTGTGGTGGGGAGAGAGGAGGAGTTTAATGGCATTTGGCACAGTTTTGAAGCATACATGGATTGCAATGGGCTTTATTATTTAAAGATAGACACATGGAGAGAGAAACCTTTAAAAAGGCTAAGGTGATGCTATACTGAATAGAAAATATTTGGATTTCATTTGTTTAAAAATCAGCTATTAAAAATACACCATGTGATTTAGCAACCCTTCACATGTCAGCCCGGACAAAAGAAGCAAAGATGCTATCTTCCTGAGATAGCAGGTTCTCCGGTGTGTCATTCTCCAAAATGTTCCCTCGCTTCATCACAATGACCATGTCCGCAGTCAGAATAGTGTGAACCCGATGCTGTGGTAAAACAAAAACACATGGAAAGTCTCTGTAAGATAACAGCCTTCATGTAGTACCTGATTCAATCCCTATTAAAGTCAGCGGTAAGCATTCTATTGTCTTCCGGGAGATATGGATGATGTCCTATCCTATTTAGCAACTTTAATCCCAAGAATCTTAAAGCACTTGACAAACTCTGGCCCTTAGCCTGAAGATATGTATGCAGTTGCTTAACTTTCTGTATGTGAGATGCCCCTTTGAACAAAATGGGCCTACTCAGATATGTTAAATTAAGCATATTCCTGAGTGTCTGCAGGATGAGTCCCTGAGGGTGTGTCTAGACTTCAGGGTTTTGTCGACAAAAGTGAACTTTTGTCGACAAAACTATACCTGTGTCTACACTACCGCCGAGTTCTGTCGACATAACGTTAACAGAACTCGGCAGTTTTGTCGCCGGCGGTTAACCTCATTCTACAAGGAATAATGCCTTTTGTCGACAGAGTTCTGTCAACAGAAGGCATTATTGCATCTACACTGTCCTTTGCGTCTACACTCTCATGTCGACAAAGCAGCTCGCTTTGTCTATAGAACTGGATGCAGTATCTGTCGATAAAAGCCTGTAGTCTAGATGTATCCATAGTGATGAATAGTTCCTAAGAGGCTTGGAGTACCCTCAATATTCATTCTCACTACCTGCCATGATCGGGCCCTATGGAATGGGTCATTCTGAACTGAACTCATGGGTGTAGTCCCAGGAATAAACCCTGCTTTATATAGGTAAATTTGTTTGTTACTACTATCTTTATATAGGACCTCTGATATACACCTTCCTCTCTGGGAGGCCTTGATCAAGTATCCAGACAAAGTGCACTCATTAAAGTACCATTTGTATTTTCATGTATTTGTATCGTGCTGATTAGATGAGGTGTTGATTTACATGTTTGCACTAAAAGCACACACACTGCATGGACCCCAATTTGTGTGCCAAAGAGGGCTGAGGGCTAGGTTGGCATTGCTGTGATTTGGACTTGTCATGTCAGGCAAGACTGAGGCTTGCACCAGTGGTTCTCAACCAGGGGTACAAATACACCTAGGGTTAGGCAGAGGTCTTCCAAGAGATACATCAGCTCAGCTAGATATTTGCCTAGTTTTACAACCGACCAAATAAAAATCACTAGTAAAGCCAATACAAATTAAAATTTCATATAGACACTGATTTGTTTATAGTGCTCTATATCCCATACACTGAAATGGTAAGTACAATTACTTATATTCCACCTGAGATCTTTCATAATGAGATGGTAAAGATGAGAAAGTCAGCAATTTCTCAGTGACTGTGCGGTGACACTTTTGTGTGCTTGATTTTGTAAGCAAGTAGTTTTTAATTGCAGTAAAACTTAGGGATACCAAAGGACAAATCAAGACTCCTGAAAGGGGTTCAGTAATCTGCAAAGTTTGAGAGCCATAGGCTTATCCCACTAATCTGTATCATCTGGCCATTAGCAAGGGAATTGTTCACTTAACACTTGGGCTAAATTATGTGTCCTGCATCAAATCCAAGCAGAAACAATAGCATTAAGAGTTTATGCTTCTTTATTTTAAATGCATTTTGTATTTGTTTTTGTGAATTGAGCATTGGTGCATGAGTGACAGTGATGGAGAATGAATGAACGCTGCCACTTAACCGCAGAATATGAACAATGGTAGTGTAAGTTTCCCCCATGTTCTCCTGCCAGTATATATTAAACCCAGTTTGGAGGTACATCCGTAGGGGTGAGATAGTAGTTGTTTCCAGGCTAATTCAGTCCTTGGCTTCTTTTCTGAGACTGCCAACAAAAGTGTTGTTTATGATGTGGACCCATCTCCACCAAGATCTGGATAGAGATATGCAACTCATTTCAGATGTTTGTTGCAAAAAGCAATTATTTACTTTCATTAATTATAATGTATATTCATATGTTATTAGATTAGTTACTCTTTTAAAGATTAGTGCAGTCATTAACATAGGATTTTAGACTTAGGAAATACTGCAGTACAATGAATGGCCCTTTGAATTGTCATTTCAGAGCAGCAGAGTCATAGCAGAGCTAAGATGACTGAAGAGCTAAAGGTAGGTACCGGAGAGCCAGAAGTCTTGCGACCAGTGTGGACCGAGAGAATCTACTTGTTAGTCTTCACCAGAGTGGTGAACAGGCCATCCTCTTTGAGGAGCAAGTTTGAAGCAGCATCACACTCAACTAGAAAACCATCGGAAAGGGCTAACACAAGGTCTGAATCCAAGATCTGAGACACTCGGTGCTGAAAAGAAGAACAGATAGGGAGGGAGAAAAAAGAGATGGAAGAATCAGCCATAAAGGAAGAAAGGATGTGAAGTCAATAGAAGGAAAATGCTTGGTGAAGAACAGGAAAGCCAATTATAAGCAAATGTTATTTTTCTTCAAATAGCTGTGTAGAAAACAGAAAGCCATAGACAAGCAGTATTTTAGGAGAAGAAATAGTATAAATCAGATATGAATGGGAGTGACAGTTTTATGAATGGGAATTTGTTTGTTACTACTATCTTATGCTTTTTTGTATCTGAGGTTCTTAAAGCACTTTATACATGGGCTAGGTTAAGTGCTTTTCCTAAGATATCACAATGAATCACCAATACAGCTGAGAACAGAACCCGGTAGAGCTGACTTCAGCCTCATGTGCTAACCTCTCGACCATACCCCAGACAAAGTAAGTGAAACAGCTGCTGAAGCAAAAATTCCACACACAAAACATGTGTCTACCAACTAAGCATATCACAGGGTGGAATTTAAGGTCACTTTCGTATTTATACTGTAGAGTCAGTTTTTGGACAAAAGGAAGCACCAGATCTCGTAGGGCATGTCTACACAAACACTTGATATACGGCAGACTGTGATGAACATCTACAGCATCCCAGCACAGCACATTCTAGCTGTTCATGGGGGCCCTGTTACTGCACATTAAATGTCCCTTAGGGAGCATTAATGTAGTGGCGTTTACAGCAGTATGTTCAAGTGTACTAGGGGTCAGCAGGATCCACATGGACCTAAGTATATGGCTGTGACTGAAGCAGAGAAATCAACCACCATCACAGAAAGGGTTAAAAAGAACCATTGTGCCCAGCTAGCGCTACCCCATTATGCCTGCAGCCAATGCCAGGCCTGGAGGGGGAAGAAAAGAAGGGAGTCTGACTCATTTTGGGGCTGGTTAGCAACGCGGTCAGAGTAAGCTGCCTCCCTGCCTGAGGGAAATAACTAGTTTGGCAGCCACCAGGAAGCAACAACCATCTTTTCGGCCAAAGAGAAAGAGGCCTCGAAGCACCCATCCTGGAAGAACATGGGTGACCAAAGGACAAGGACCTTGGGGTTGTGACCCCACCAAATTTATGGCTGCCTGACTGGTAGGACCCTGGGACTGCAGTAGGGGAACACCCAGTGTCCATGAGGGGTGCATTACTAGAGATAAGCTGCTACTGCAACTTGGACTATAGCAGGCCATGCCCCACAGTAAAGGGACAATGGTAGGAAGTAGCCCAGGGCAGTGGACGTAGATGCTCACTGGGAGATCGCTTATTTCAGGGCTGACTTACACAGGATCCTGGGCTGGGATCCAAAGTAGTGGAAGAGCCTGGGTCTCCCCATCCTACCTTAAAGACTTAGGCACCTCGACCACAGAGGGAGTACTCCAACCACTAAGCTGCCTGGCCCTCCATCCCCTGTTCCAATGGCACACTGGCACTCTGTAGAGTCACACCTTAGATTGCTTGGCAGAAAGGGTGTATGCAGGCCTGCCCATAGTCTTGCTTTTTTTACATCACAGTTTTTACATCACTAAAAACTATCCTGCCACCTCCACACAAAGCCGAACAATCAGAATTAGATCAAAGTATTACAGCCCAGAGGAGTCACTGGTGGAAAACAGAAGGGACCGAGGCACAATAGTGCCAGAGGGATCTTACATACATACAGAAGTGCTGACCTACACATTGGTATCTAGAGATGATTGACAAACAAGGAGGTTGGGGGGGAGGGAGGGGGAGAATTACAATTAGCCAAAAACATTTTTTGTTGTTTGTTGAGATTTGAATATTTCCACCTATTCAATTTTTTAAACCATAGTAATAAAAAAGGGCATATGCAGAGAGAATCACCCAATTTGAGAAACTGCACTGTAAAGCTTTTAAAGTCATAATTCATATCACAACTGTAGAAACCAGAGATGGGTCTAAGCAATACATTTAAAATCTAGATTTTGAACTAGCCCCCCAAGCTTTGGTGGTAATAGAACCAAGTGTTTTAATTTGAGCTGATTAGAGAGATTGAGCTCAACAGAAAAATTTGTACTGGGATCCTGATTCAGATGTCAAATTCCACTCCAGTATCCTGGTTGTTCTGATCTGAGGGTTTTCACTTGGCCCACCTTACAGGTAGCAACTATTTGCAAAATGGTGAAAACAGAGCCCATGTCTTAGTTTTATCTTCATAGCAATACTTTATTGGTGAAAAACAAGTACCACTACTGCAAGAATGAGGAAAGGTGAGGGGGCCTCTGTCGGAGTTGATACTTACAGCTATTGTTACAACTGTGCGGTCCACAAAGGCAGTCATCACAACCTTCTGCAAAATGTTTTCCTGTCAAGGAAAAGGCTCCTCAGTTATTCTGTTCTCAGACATACCGTGTGGCTTTAACTGCCAGAGTCAGGACCACACAGTATATTGCATTTCATCCCTTCACTGATGCGATTCAATGCAGGTTTGCAGCAGGATCCTTAAACCCTTCTCCCCACACCACAGAAATCAAAATTAAGAACAAAATAACTAAACCCCACACCTGAAAGGTAGACAACAGAGTTATCAGTCTCCCTTGCCTGGGCGCCATGAATGACAGCTTGTGGGGAAGACAGTCCCAAAAGCGTGACCCTTCAACTTCCAATGTCTTCTTGCCTCTTAAAAGGCCAATCAAGTAGCAGCAATGTAACTGATCTACTCACGGTGGCCATGTCAATGGAAGCTGTGGCTTCATCCATGATGAGAATGCTGCTCTTGCGAACAAAGGCTCTGGCCAGACAGAAGAGCTGTCTCTGGCCCACACTGAAATTCTCACCCCCTTCTGTTACCACCGCATCTGTAATATAGTTAGATTTAACGATTAAACCTCTAAATGCTATTGTCCTGGTGTTTTATTCTGTTGGCCATACGAATGAAAGAGCAAATCAATATCAGAAATTATTTTCAATTTACACCAAGAAACCTCTGTGGAATAGCTGTTAAACCATCAATAATACCCCTGAAAAATATCATGAATATAGTCTCTGAGGAGTGTTGGAATGAAGTTGTATTGAGAAAACTGATCACAACTATCGCCATGAGGACCACAGACCATCTCATATGATCAGAGAGTAAGAAGGTGACATATCTGGGAAGATCTAGTGTTATTTTTAAAAATATGGAATGTGTATAAATGGTTTTCCTTCATGAACCAGACCTGAAATGTGAAGGGAAATGCTTGGTCAGTGACATAATTAGGAGTTATGGCTGTTAGATCTTCAAAGAGCTTCTGCTGCAAGATAGGGGTGCCATTTCAGATTTTTTGGAGGGAGAAGCAACTTTAAGCATGATTCCTGGGTCTATTTTCTGCTGTGTCAATTTCTCACAGTAACTTAAAATTTAGCCCCACAGTAGCCCAATCTATTGATTTAAATATTTTTGTATTAGAACTACTGTCTATATCTTTAAAAAGAATCACTTTCTAGAGGGTATAATAAAATGATGGATGTTGGCACTATAGATATATAACAAAACACATTTTGGCAGCCAAATCATATATGTTCAGACTGGCTTAGACAGAGCTGTCCCATCCATGGGATGGTTTGGGGTGACTACCCAAGGCCCCATGCCCCTATGGATGGGATGGTCCTCCCTCCATGGAAGACCACAGGGCCCAGGATAACCTGAGGAATTATCTGCGGGGGGAGGGCAGTATGGCAGGATATAGGCACCATTTTCATTTTACTGTGTTGGGCACCCATAAATCCTAAGGATGACCCTGAAAGGAGCAGCAGCACCTTCAAAGGAATTCTGGGGAAAAGTCTTAGAACTGAGAAGTGTAATTCTGGGGAGATTTGGTAAGATCAAGGCAATCCCAGAGGAATCACCATTTATGTCTAACAGCCTGTATGGCCCCACCTAACAACTTGACCCAAAGCCCATTGAAAAGATTCTCAGAGACAAGTGGGACTAAGTGGAAGAAGAGATGGTCATGATGGAGTATTGCCACGCCCCCAGAAATGGGAGAGTTGGAAAAAATAGGGCGTTTTAAGTGTAATTTAAGCAGTGTTTGTTCCTTGATGTCAGGGAAAGATCCCAGGGGTCATTCTTTAGCTCTGCAGCCCTTTAGAGCAGCCCTTTGTCTACTGGTGTCACAAGGGGCTTGCTTCTGCCACCCACTGTAATTTGTCAACATGTGACGGTGAGGGGCAATTCTGGATGAAATCTGCACCGATTGTCTTCTGGCCTAAGCACAGAGCTTCCATCTCCATCTGGCTTGTTTCAATGAATTTGAAAAAAAATGTCTGGAGACGCTCTCGGCCCTGCTATTGGCTCTGCCAGATACATCTCTGCATTCCTATTGGTAGAGCAAAGAACAGCCAGCCCAGAGATGGGAGGGGCAAAAAGAGTGAGTTACCTTTCCAAATACTGTAGCTGAGGCAGGGCGCGGGGGCGGGGGAAGAGGGAGAAGGAAGCGTTGGCAGGAAGAAGCTGCTTAGGTTTAGCTGCTGGCTGGTAAGGGGATGAGAATAAAGGAGGCAAGCAAGCAATGTGACTGCTGCTGTCGCTTTTGGATATGTCTACACTACAGAGAAGATTGACACTGTCGATCTTCCAGCATTCAAATTAGTGGGTCTAGAGAAGACATACTAATTCAAACTGAGAGGGGCATTCTGGTTGATGCCTTAAGTCCTGCTTCTGTGAGGAGGAAGGGAAGTTGAAGCGAGAGAGCTCTCCCTTCCACTTCCTGTTGTGTAGACAACGCCAAAAGATGAGTTAGGGTACTTCGACTTTAGCTATGCAATTGACGTAGCTGGAGTAGTGTATCTTAATTTGATCTTGTCCCATAGTGTAGCCAGACCATTTGTGTTTTGCATTTGCTGCTGCAGTTCTGTTCTTGCTAATCAAGAGATGGAACTATCTCTGGAGCTCTGATTCTCATTCTGCTGCTCCTGATTTCAGCCAGGAGCCAAGCAAGAGTTTGCATGGGCCGAGCCTTTTGTTCTGCTTGATAAGCCTGCATTCCTCTCGCTCCCTGTTGGTGAGGGCATGTGTGTGTGTGGGGAGGGAGGTGTTGGGAGGTAAGAGGAGTAAGCAAAGCAAGCTACATGCATTCCTTTCACTCACTCCTGGTTAGTGAGGAGGGGCAGAAGAAAAGCAAGCTGTGTCTTTGTTCAAAATGTGGGAGGGGGAAGATGGTGTTTCAGTTCCCTGCCTCCTCAAATAGTGCCCTTGCTGCAAGTGCTGCAAGACCAGTATAAAAGCTTTTAATCCTATGACAACTGGTTCCCCACCCCACCTCTTGATGTGCCACATCGATATCTCACTGAAGTCGAAAGCTTAAACATCAGCCGGCAGCACAGCACATCTGTTCTCTCTGGTATACTGTTGGAATATTCAGCAGGGTCCAGATCCCAAAAGGTATTTAGGTATCTAATGTTAAGCATCTAAATACATCTTAGGATCTGGGCCCAAGTGCTTTCCATACATTACGGGAGGCTCAAAGTATAGCATGCATTGTACAGTACACTCTTCTTGTCCTACCGAGAGACATTAAAAAGTCAAACTCTTTCTCTCTGTTATGGCTCTTTTATATGGATCAGCATAGACCCCTGGATGCTTGGCTTTGTTTGGACATACCAAGACCTCCTGGCAATGATTTGACCATGTTCTTCAGCTGAGCAATTTCCAGAGCTTCCCAAAGCCTATCATCAGTGCATTTGCATTCCGGATCCAAATTAAAGCTGCAAGAGTGACAAAGATCCAGAAATTATTGTTATATTCCAGCCTGCTGGCCTGTTCCTAGGCCACAATATGACATTATGTTACTTAAGCTCTATGAAAGGACTGTAGAACCAGCAATAGGAATTTAAGGTCCCCTCCTCTGCATATCACCCCATCCCATAGCAACTTCTATAGTACCATCTCTCAGGCGCACCCTATTCAACCCTAAAAGTCTTAAAGTGAGAATCAATACCTACCGAATGGAACCACTGAACAGTATGGGGTCTTGGAGAATAATTGAGAGTCTGGAACGGAGAGTGTGCAGGGGCAGTTTACAAATGTCTATTCCATCAATCACAATCCTTCCTGTTTGAAATAACACACAAAGTGAAGACAACACAAGCATGCTATTTGTAAGAAGCATATGGAAAAATTAACCATAACTCTCTGAGACTGGCTGCATTCCTTCAGCTGTTTATGGCTCTTTAAACATGTGGAAGGTGATCCTATCTAATAACACAACCCCAGAGGAAAACAGGCACATTGATGCCAGATAATGTTGTCTTTCTCTTTTTTTTGTTTTCATTTTTTTCTTCTTCTTCTTCCCTTAAAGAACACATTTTGCTCCCATGCTGCATGATTGATGGTGCCATTAAAAGCATAATTTACTGTGAGCATCCTCGGATCTGTGGCTAAATAGAGAAAGACAGAACAAAAGCAGCTAATGTAGTTATCATATTTTGGCCTCTCTTCAAGCTCAGAGTCAAAGTAGGATTGGGTCTTTTGTTTCAAATATGTGCCAGTTTATTTTGTGCAGTGCACTTAAATAAAATATCAAAGCACACCTAGAACTTGAGAAAGATTGATCTAAATTGAGTGACTTTTTCACAAGAGGTGGGTGAATAAATTAAAAACACGTCCAGCTTTCAGGCTTTTCCTTCCCATTAGTGTCAGTTTCCATAAATCACTGTCTTGTAAGTATAGGGTAAAGGATGAATCACAATGCATATTGTTCAGCTACCCTAAGAGTAATGGAACAATTGCATTAATAACCCTGCAGCACTGGCAAGCCATTCTAATAAAGGAAGCTGCATGTAACAGCTGGAATACTCACTAATGTAAAAGGTATTTCATCACCACATCAAGTCAGTGACTATTTGGGTTTCACCTGGAAAGCTGCCATGTGGTGTGTGTGTGGCAACATCTGGCATTTAGAGAAAGAGAATTATATGCTAGATTGAGAGCAGCTGCTCTGTAAATAGGAAAGGAGGAGACGAGCATAAGAAAACTCTCCTTCTTAAGTCTCTGCACAGCAGTCAGGTACAAGGGCAAACTCTAAGCACAGGACCTGTGAGGGTCTGGTCAGGTGGACAGACAGGACTAAGATGAGGGATGTAGCCATCAGGCTCAGTCCTCATTTATGCTGGGAAGCCCCAGCAGGGACACTATCTCTGTGATGTACAATTTCTACTGGGGTTCATGTATCATTCCATGATGCACCCAAGCTGGGGCGGTGCCCAAACTGAACCTGTTAGCGCTATCACTATAGTTAGGGCTCCATATTTGTCATGGAGGTTGCAGAAGTCCTGGATTCCATGGCTTGCAATGACTTCTCTGACTTCTGCAGCAGCCAGCGTGGCTGGGGTTGCCTGAGCAGATGACCCCAAAGCCAGTATCTCAGGCAGCCCTGGGGACAGCAACATCGGCCACTGCTGGAGTGGCTTTTCAGCTAGCCTTGGTAGCACCTGGCAGTTTGCCTCAGGGAATGCCTAAGCAGCTGCCGATGCAACTGGTCCCAGAGGTGGCTGAGCAGCTACTGGCCTCTGGGCCTCCCCACAGCAGCAGTCTCCTCCTAGGGCTCCCCTCCACACACACAAGGGCTCCCCTCCACACACACACACACACACACACACACACACACACACACACAGCTGGTGCCACAGGCTTCCCCAGATATTCAGTGGAGATATTTATGGTACAAGTCACGGACAGTTCACCAACATAATTCTTTTTGTTTCCTACTTGTGATCTGTCCATAACTTGTACTAAAAATACCAGTGATTAAACAGTAGCCTTACTAATAGTTAGAAAAATCAGATCTCGCCCAGGATAGGATAAATGGATGGAAATTCCAATTCCAAAATCCATCTGCCATTTCTAGTTTTCATCATCTTGTAGTTTGTAAAACCAACAAGGTAGTAGCCTGCAAGATGCCGAGTGCTTTGGCCCTGCTCCAAAGCACATAAGCACATGCTTAACTTGCTTGCAGTGGGATCAGCCACATGCATGGAGTTCAGTGGGACCAGAATTTCTTCCATAGTGTTTAAAATCTGATTATCTTGCACTTTCACTGGGACAAAATTGGATTGCTGGTCTTCAGCTGCGGCAGCATCAGTTTAACCCTCTCTACCTCCCCACGTGGTAAGTGGGGAGTCTGGGAAGAAAGGAAACAGGATCTTTGGTGGGGGAAAAAGATTTGGTTTGACTGGTGTGTGTTGGAACCTAATCCAGAGGGGGAACCGGAAGGACCTGGGGAGGTTTGGGAAGATACCAGAGGAAATGGAAATGCCTGAGTGGACCAGGCAGTAAAGAGCAGAGAGAAAATATGGGTAATAGTGAGAGGAAGGGCACATTAGGACAGAATATCTTGGGAAAAGGGGGGAGTTGGTAAAAAAAAGTGAGCTCCCAAGAGAAAGAGAATGCTGGGGATCCTTGGTGGGCAGGTGTCCTCATGGAATACTGGTGAGTGCAAAGAACTAACAGAATGAGGAAGCAAAATGGACACAGAATGAAATCCTGGCTCCACTGAAGTCAACAGGAGCTTTGCCAATGGCTTTAATGAAGAGATGGGAGCAAAGGGACCAGAGTCAATTTAACATGAGAAAGATGGAGAGACAATGGAGATAAAAAGGGAAACTATGGAAGTGTCAAGCAAATATGAAAAGAAAGTCAGTGCTTTCCAAAGAAAGAAAAGTTAGAGGTGCAGGAAGAGTGGAGAAAAGAGAGAAACAGAAAGGAGATGGAGAGAAAAAGATGGGCATAAACATGAATTAACCTAAGAGCATCTGATTTATTTGTCTTCCCGTATCAGATTGGATTTCACAGCCAGACATTTCAGATATACAATCACTTCTGGGCTGTAAGCATGGGATTCTTTTAGAGTAAAAACGAGGAGTCCTGTGGAATTTATAGACTAACATATTTATTTGGGCATAAGTTTTCATGGGTAAAAACCACTTCATCAGATATATGGAGTAGAAGTCACAGAGATTGTTTTTGCAGATACAGACTAACTTGGCTACCCCTCCCAGACTTTAGAGTAAGAGCATAACAGGGGTTTCCAAATCATTGGAATTCTAAGACAGTTTCAAATACAATAGTGGGGAACCACAATAAAAGAAAAAAAATATGAGGAACTGCATTTATTGAACACCAGTGTCTATTTTGCTCACACTGAACCACACTCAGTTATGGCAGGCCTATTTTGTGGGGGGGAAATCTATAAGCACCAGAGAGTTACATATTTTCTCTTCTCATCTAGACACAGTACATTATTCTTTCAGACCATAAAATAGGGACTGGACACCAGATCCAGTGATGAGCGGAGCATTTCCTGCAGAATTGAATGCTGCTGCCTGGAGGTGCTCTGCAGTTTGGAAGAGTGGGTATAACACACCTCATCCCAGACAAGTGATTTGAGAAGACAGAAAGCAGAGACATAAGCCTTGAATCTGCTTGCTTGCTTTTGAAGACATGGTATGGGGAATGGGATAGCAGTTTCATAGCTAGGGTCTAGTGAGGATCCATAACAACTCACCATCAAATATGTCTACCATTCTGAAGAAAGCCAAGGATAATGATGATTTTCCACTGCCAGTGCGACCACAGATCCCAACCTACAAAAGAGAGGAAATTGTCACTGCTCTGAAGATCTTGGGGAGAAGGGACCTATAAATCAAACTCTGGACCCAGGAAGGAAATTTGAAATTGAACCCATATCGCTAAAACTCCCAAACCAGCTTAAAAGTGAAAGGACAAATATACCATGTCTGCAAAGGAGTGGAGAGAGGGTTCTCCTGTGTGTATTCCCACAAGGAAAATTTGTATGTGGGCTGCTCCAGAGGCTGGAAGGCACAAAGACAGGATAGTGATGACTGCCTACATTGCTGACAGATCCAGTAGGGCAGGGGTGTCCAAACTTTTTTCAAAGAGGGCCAGATTTGATGAAGTGAACATGCGTGAGGGCCGACCATTTTGCCTGACATTCTTTGAACCATTAAAATTAAATGCAAATTAACTATTTTATGCAAAGTTTATTGCAAACGGCATACTTTTCATTTCGTCACATGGATGACAAATCTAAACAGGTGTTAAATCACTCTGCCTTTCATATCTGAAGGCCAGATGAAAAAAAAAATCCAGGAAGCTGAAATATATGTCAGGAACATTGTAAAGTACATTACATATTATTGGTAATAAAGGTTGTCTGTCAACTTTTAAGTTCAAAAAATATGAACAGGAACATAACACCAAGTATACATGTTGTGTCCAAATATATTTATAACTGATTTAGACCAACTGACTTTAACTGAGATTTTACAATGTATTCATCTCAATACATATGGATTCGTTGGGGGCCATAAAAGATAGATATTGCCAAATTACCCGTGGGGCCGTATTAAACCAGAACACGGGCCGCAATTGGCCCGCGGGCCGGACTTTGGACATGCCTGCAGTAGGGACAGGGGCATGTATGTAACCACAGTGTCAACCTATGTTCACCAATGCACTCCTTAATGGGAGTGTATGTATGCTTTAAACTTCATTGACTGCATCTAGACTGGCAAGATTTTGCACAAAAGTACTCGCTTTTGCACAAAATCTTGCTGCCTGTCTAGACTGGCCGTGAGTATTTGTGGAAGAAAAACAAGTTTTTACTGTCGCAAATACTCTGAGGCTCTCGCTCAGGGATAAGCCCTCTTGCGCAAGTATTCTTGTGCAAGAGGGCCGGTGTAGACAGTCAAGTTAATTTCTTGTGCAAAAAAGCCCGATGGCTAAAATGGCCATCCTAGCTTTCTTGTGCAAGAGAGCGTCTACACTGGCACGGATGCTTTTGCGCAAAGGCACATGCCAGTATAGACGCTCTCTTGCGCAAATACTTTTAACGGAAAAACTTTTCCAGTAAAAGTATTTGCGCAAAATCATGCCAGTCTAGACGGTTTAAGGTGCTAGATATGAGCAAAGTGTTACAAGAACTCAGGGTATACATTAGATCAGATGCTTGATCATGATGTCTCTTATTTCCATACATTGGGTTTGCCTGCCCAGCAGGGCCTCAATTTGGCAAGGCCCTTCCACATGTGACTCACATTATGTATGACTATGTAGTCCCACTATGCATGACTATTCATGTACTGAAATGCAGAAACATGCTTCAGTTCCTTGCTGAATCAGGGCCTGAAGGACTCCTCTTCTCCCCATCAAAGGCAATTGAAAAAGTCGGTATAAAAATATTTATCTCCAATACATAATAAGAACAATAATTGTTGCTGCCGATATGTCTAGTATTTATAATAATAAGTATTATATTATAATTAGCAGTTTTTATATATTATATGGCATTCTAATATCATATAAGAGAATTTCTATAAACATTTTTGACTTCAGGATTTCCTGGTGCTTTACAAATTATCATGAACTACCTGGAGTTACCTGGCGTTGCTCGAGGAACTGGAGGAACAAAATGTAGAAAAACAGTAGTCCATTATCTTTTTTTGAATGGTAGAAAAATTGCACTGATTTGAATAGGGATTAAATATAGGTCTGCGTCATCCCTGGAACGGGGTGGGGTGCGACCCTGGATGGAGGGGAGGTTACACGCGGGAGGGGTGCCCCAGCTCACGCCCGGGCTGCAGGTGCCACGGGGGGCAGGGTGGGTGCCCGAGGGGGGCGGGGCACTGCATGCC